CACTATATTATCATTCTTAAGGACAAAGATCACAGGTGGCAAACACAAGGCCCGCGGACCACATCCAGCCCTCCACCTTGTTTTATACGGCCTTGCACCTTGTTTCTACCTAGCGGCAACTGAGCTCTCGCTTAACTGTTAAGGAGTAGTTACATTTATACAGTCCTAAAATTATATTCAGCCCTTTGAAGGCAACCACAAGGCTGATGTGGCCTGCTGTGAAAATAAGTTTGACACCCCTGACACAGATGATAAGGCCTGGCCAGGTAGCTAAGTTGGTTAGAGTGCTGAACCAATATGCCAAGGTTGTGGGTTTGATCCCCAGTCAGGACACATACAAGAATCAGTCAATGAATGCATAATTAAGCAGAACAACAAATCAATGTTTCTCTCTCCTTTCCTCTTTCTCTAAAATAAATAAATATTTCTTTAAAAGACACAGATCATGCTATACAACCAGAGAGCCATAAATCATAATTACATTGAGATATAAAGTAAAATCTCTACTCATTGATACTGAAACATTCCATTTGATATGCTTTTTAGGTAGATGTGTTATTTATGCAAATAAATCCTCAGCTAACAGAATTTAATTTCTAGAATGAGAAATAATATTCATAGTTACTAATGAGAAAATCTATGACATATTCCACATATTCACTGTTTACATAGTTACAAAGTCCTTTCATTTTTATAGTAAATTCAAGTAATTTCTTTATATGAGGTAAAACTACTACCAAAACAAAAACAGAATATACAAAAGTACTATTTTCTAAAATTAGATTTTCCTCCCTTTCTTAATAGAGAACAGGCTCTCCCCCTCTCTCAACAATAACTTCTGAGGTAGATGAACTCTCAAGAAACAAAAGGAAATAAAACTAATTGATTTTAACATATTAATAACCTAGAACCCTTAATTTTTAAAAAACCTAGTAATAAATTACCATTAAAAATAAACGAGAAAGAAGTAACCGGGCAGATTCAAAAAAATACTTTTAACATTATTGTTAAAATATACTTTCCATTCCCTCTTTTAAAAAACTGTCCTTTGTATTGAGCAAATAAATAAAATTGTGACTGTGTGTTTATAACTCACCTGAAAAAAATGTTTTAGGAATATTATAATGACCTATTCCGCATGAGGATAAAATAAAAGTGAATGTGACAAATCCAAGATTTCAGGACTTAAATTCCATCATGTTGCCTCAAACTATAAAATAACTTTCAAGAGCTCCAGGTGTAAACTGGGAAGAATCTCTGTATCTTTCTATCATCGCATAGTGACCACACTATAAATTAGACTTGTTATATTGTCACTATTTAATTTACATTTTAGCAATTTAATTGGTACATTTTAGAATCTGCCATTTGTTGTGGAATAAAATACAACATGAAAATTTCAAAAAGGATGTCAAATTACTCCCTTACTTTCAAACTTTCTATTAGCTTCCTATGGAACTAGATTAAGTCTGAACTTAACGCTAGATGACAAACCCCTAACCATTTTTCTTTACTCTTCTAATCCTGCTATAACCCCTAGTCTCTTTCTCTACAGATCGGTACCATGATTTTGTTCCTGTTCCTGTAACACACCATACTCATTCTGCTCTCATGGAAGAAGAGAAGCATAAAATAAAATCTGATTGTAATAATTAAAAATAGGAGTAAAATAATGTTTGAAACCTAAAGCAATGTCAAGAGAAAAGAAGAAAAATAACAATCTTTGAGCCCTGCTTTAACTCTTTAAAGAAAAAAGGTCAGTGTCAGAGAGCTGGAAATACTAAGTGTCACCAGGAAACCCAACACATTGCCCCAGGCTAATATGAGTTGTCCTGCTAGTCTCAAATGTACATTACTTATCCAAACTGTATGAACTTTTTAAAACTTCACAAATATGCATCCAAAGTACATTCTACATAAGTATCAATTCAGTAAGATGAACAATGAATAAAGAGTACTGAGAATTATTATCATTTAAGACAATGAAGGCTTAAATTCAGATGATAAAGTTATATAAGTGATTCCATGGAAGATATTATAGAATGGTATTCAATAATCTATATCACTGCCTTCCAGGGTCATGTACTACAGTACAAAAAGCATATTCTCTAGAGTTAGAATGCTGAGACTATGAATGATAAAATTTCTCTGAAACTCAGGTTTCAAATTAGTAATACAGGTAATGAATGCTTCAAAGGATTGTTTTAAGAATTAAGCATAAGGTAAGAAAATAACTCAAAAAAGTAACTGACATACATTGGCTTTCTTTTTTTCCTTGACCTGACAGTACGATGCACTTCATAAAAAGAATATGTTTGGCTAGAGATTTGTCGCCATGATCAATATAGCACTGTATTAAAATGTTATAAAGAGGAACAGCACATAAGATGCAATTATTCAGAAAAACAACAAATTTAATTTTAAAAGGCATCAGAGAAATTGGTCAACTCATTCTAAAATGAGAAAGGGTGGGAGGGAGAATAAGAACAGACATACTAACATTTTCAATCTTGGTTTTTTTATAATCCAATATTAAACCACACTAACTTTCAAGGTGTATTTAATATTTTGACATAAAGAGGTAAAAATGTATTTTTCTTCACATAAAAAAACAAGAAAAATGAAATTTGCTATTGGAATATAGTAACATGTGTGTATAATTTAGCTTTCAGAAACTGATGAGGAAAAATAACTGAGTAGCAGAGATAGAAGGCATCCAGAAATGCATGAACCCAAGGGTGTTAACATGATAATTTGGGAAGGAGAATAATGAGAAACAATAATATTTATAAACATATCATAGAAATTGACCATGTAGAGAATGTTTCGTTAACATTAAATTTTATTTTATTTTTTTAAAACATTTTATTTATTTATTTTTAGAGAGAAGAGAAGGAAGGGAGAAAGAGAGGGAGAGAAACATCAATGTGTGGTTGCCTCTCATGTGCCCCCCAGTGGGGACCTGGCCTGCAACCCAGGCATGTGCCCTGACTGGGAATTGAACCGGTGACCCCCTGGTTCTCAGGCTGGTGCTCAAACCACTGAGCCACACCAGCCAGTGCTGTTTTCTTAACATTAAATTTTAGTGACACAGATGTAGAACATAACAGTGAAAAGAAATGTCTACTATGTTAACACTTGTTTTAAGTCCATTTCTTAGGAAATTCAACCCAAAAGTATAAGTCATTGCTATTTACCAGTTGCAGTAGATAAGGGTCAATATGATACAGTTCTTGCTCCCAGAGAGATGTAAATCTTATTTCAAAAAAACAGCAATAAATATTTACCATATTTTGGACTATAAGACACACTCCCCAAATTTGGGAGGAAAAGGGGAGGGTGTTGTGACTTATAGTCCAAATGTAGCTTACCTATCTCACTGTGGTGGGGGGCAGGCAGTAGAGCGGGGTCACAGGTTATTGAATATTTTATCACATTTTTTGCTTCAAAATTTTTTTTTCCTATTTTCCTCCTCTAGAACCTACTACCTGCATCTAATGGTCCGGTGTGTCTTATATTCCTAAAAATACGGTAGATAGCAACCCTTATAAAATAATACCATTATACAGCTTTTGAAATTTAAGAAGTTTATGTAATACATGTATATATATTTTCTCAATTAAATTTTAACATCTAAATTCTCTCAATACCAACTGATAAAGTAGGTATTTGGCACTTTCATAGGTGAGAACGAAAGACCCAGAAAGACTGATTTATCCAACACTGTTAATTTGGCAGAGCCAGAACTGAAACCTAAGTCTACATTTATAATACCATATGTAGCTCCAGGAGGAAATACTATTCAATAAGGTGGATGGGAGACCAAGAGAACAAAAATTAGTTTTTAATTATATAGATGTAGATAATTCTAATGAGAACTGGTAGGAGATATTCCTTATGATACAAACTTAATAGTAAAAGTAATATCATCAATATTTTATTTCCCAGAAACTTAATAAATGTCAGTGAACTGAATAAAGGTGAGGAGTGAGTGAAAAAATATGGCTATATAGTTTTCTGATGTCAGATTTTAAAAGGACATATGAAGAAAGGAAATGTAAGAATATTTACAAATTAATATCATAAACACTGTAAGAATATTGCCAGAATAAACTAAGCTTTATAAATAATACCAAAGCCCACTGACTGCATAAATGTAAGAGGATGAACTAAGAAGAAACAAGAATATTGCATGGGAAAGATGATATAATGTTAACAGATGCAGAGAGAATAAAGAACTACTCACACCTCCTCTTTTGCATCCATCTTCTCCACCAAGGAGAATTGAGTAGAAAACTGGAAAAGGTAGAAGAAACATAGTTATAAAGCAAATGAAGTTGAAATGAGAAAAGAAGACAGTAAGAGAATACCCAGACACTTTTTAAATTAGTTTTTGTCTACGGAGCCTAAATAATCACAGGCCCAAACTAGGCATTCATCTCTAATCTGCAAAACATTGTAAGAAAGGAAAATGATTTCTAAAACACACTGTTTCCGGAAGTAAGGAAAAAATTTTTTTAGAAAATTATGTACCAAAGAAACATAATTCAAGTTTAAAAGGCTCTTGAAAATTCATTCATGTCATCTATATCTAAATATAAAGAAACTATTATTTGCAAGATGGCTTGTAAGCACTACAAAAGAAAAAGGTTACACCAAGAGCTGATTTAATTTCACTAAAAGTAATCCTAAACTTTTTCCTTATCAGTAAATTTTCTTTTAGGTAGGCTAGTGTAACTAATGCACTAGATTTTTTTAGTATTTTTTTTTTTTTAGAAAGAGGGTAAGGGAGGGAGAAAGAAAGGGAGAGAAACACTGGTGTGAGAGAGATATCCATTGCCTCTTGTACAGCCCCAACTGGGACCTGGCCAGCAACCCAGGCATGTGCCCTGACTGGGAATCAAACCAGCAACCCATTGGTTCACAGGCTGGCACTCATTCCACTGAGCCACACCAGCCAAGGCACTAATATATTAAATTTTTAAAATTATGATATTATGGTGCTCACTTCAGCAGCACATATACTAAAATTAGAACAATACAGAGAAAATCAGCATGGCTAATTTTCTAGGATGACACGCAAATTCGTGAAACGTTCCACATTTTTAAAGGACTTGAACAGGCACTTCTCTAAGGAGAACACACAGAGGATCCAGAGACACATGAAAAGATGCTCAATATCACTAGCTATCAGAGAGATGCAAATTAAAACTACAATGACATACCACTTCACACCAGTCAGAAAGGCCATCATAAACAAAGCAACAAACAAGTGTTGGAGAGGCTGTGGAGAAAAGGGGACCCTAGTGCACTGTTGGTGGGATTGCAGACTGGTACAACCACTATGGAAAACAGTATGGAATTTCCTCAGAAAACTGAAAATGGATCTGCCTTTTGACCAAGCAATTCCACTGCTGGGAATTATATCCTAAGAACCCTGAAACACCAACCCAGAAGAACTTAGGTACCCCAATGTTCAGAGCAGCACAATTTACAATAGCTAAGTGCTGGAAGCAACCTAGGTGCCCATCAGTAAATGAATGGATCCAACAACTATGGCACATTTACACAATGGAATTCTATGCAGCAGAAAGAAAGAAGGAGCTCCTACCCTTTGCAACATCATGGATGGAGCTAGAAAGCATTATGCCAAGTGAAATAAGCCAGGCAGTGAAAGACAAATACCATATGATCTCACCTTTAATAGGAACCTAAACAACAAAACAAAGAAACAAGCAAAATATAGTCAAAGACACTGAAATAGAGGACAGGCTGACAGTGACCAGAGGGGAGAGAAGTGGGAATTTCAGGGGAGAATGGAAAGGGTTTACAGGAACAAATTTAAAGGACACATGGACAAAAACTAGGGTGGGGGTGGAAATGGGAGGGAGGTGGAGAGGGATGGGAGTAAAGGACAGAAAACTGTAGTTGAACAATGGTTAAAATAAAATTTTAAAAAATTTTATTATGGGAAAAGATCTGAAAATATTTTAGGAATAAAATGAAAAGTATAAACTGATTAATAATACAGCACACTAGATACTCAGAGCTGGGTAAACAACCATAATTTAAAGTATTAACCAAGAACTAAAGTAAAACTGACTGAATTTTTTCTAAAGTAATCCACACTGCTTTATCCTCATACTTAAATCAAGGTATCTGGATAGACTCAACAGAATTCAAAGTTAAGTGAATACTTTAACATGTTGGATAAGTTGAAGATTCCAAAAGGTTTCAAAAGATTGGAAAATTGGGCAAAATAACTAATATTAAAGTAACAACAATAGCAGTGGTAGCTGAATTTGTGCAGTAAAAGATTAAGCTAAAGCTAGAGTTTGGCAAAGCTGATAAACACTCCAATTTAGAACAGAGAAGCCCCAAAGATTCAAAAACTAGATGAGTGGCAAGGAGGGCTAATAGGAAATATAAGACTAGTCTGTTTTAAGCAGCAGCTAGACTCACAGATCTCTTCCTGTCTCCAGCCTCTCAAGTGTGTTCCACTTTGGCAAAAAAGATGTCCCCTCCCCCACTAGAAAAGGTTATTAGAGGGTCTCTAAATCAGGGAGCATATTAAAGCAAGCTGAAGGCACACATTACTACTGAAACAGGATTAAGTAGAAGTTTACATAATGAAATATGTTGAGAACCAACACTCTCCTCCTCCCACTCCCAGTCTATTTTTACCTCAATGGGCATTAACTGTGAGAGCCAGGGAAAGGACTAGTCAATTCCTCTGGGATACCGGACCAGTTAAGATACAAGACCTAAATATACAGGCTTTAGGTGTTTCCCAAGGAAATGGCGGGATCTCAAAACAGACATGACTACAGCTAACAAACTCCATCCACAAGCTTAGAGGTCCAAGTGGGCTTTTAATTTTTTTTTCTTAATTAATCATTGTTCAAGTACAGTTTTCTGCCTTTTACTCCCATTCCAACCCGCCCACCCATCCCTCCCTACTTCCCTCCCATTACCACACTCCCCTAGTTTTTGTCCATGTGTCCTTTAAATTTGTTCCTGTAAACCCTTCCCAATCTCCCCTGAAATTCCTATTTCTCTCCCCTCTGGTCACTGTCAGCCTGTCCTCTATTTCAGTGTCTTTGACTATATTTTGCTTGTTTCTTTGTTTTGTTGTTTAGATTCCTGTTAAAAGTGAGATCATATGGTATTTGTCTTTCACTGCCTGGCTTATTTCACTTAGCATAATTTTTTTTAATTAATTATTTTTTTAAGAGAAAGAGGAAAGGAGGGAGAAAGGGAGAGAAACATTGATTGGCTGTCTCTCCCATATATCCCAATGAGGGACCTTAACCATAACGTAGTCATGTTCCCCAACCAGGAATTGAACCCGTGACCCTTCACTTTGCCAGAGGATGCTTAATCAACTGAGCCACACCTGATTATGAAATCAGAGCCCAATGTGCTTTTAAATATGAGTAGTCAGAACCTCCAGATATTTCCTGTAAGTGAAACACCAGATATAAAAGAGACTAAATAATACACAAAAGAAAAAGTGACTACAAAGAAAACAAGACTCTAAAGAAAGAAGAAAACATACCAAAAAATGAATAATACTCTCAATAAGATAAGAGAAACATAACAAAGCACAGAAATAGTGGGTTATCAAAAACTAACCATTTGGAAAACAAAAGTTTTATGAAATTAAACTTTAATAGCAAACATGAAAATGCAATAGAAGTTTTAGAATGTAAAGTTAAAAAGGTTTTCCCACTAACTAGAACAAAAAGAACTTAAAAGAGAAAAAAATAAAGAGGACCAGCACAGTCCCATATCCCAATACAAAAGATCTAGAAAAGCTCTGGCTGGTGTAGCTCAGTGGATTGAGCACTGGCCTGTGAACCAAAGGGTTCTTGGTCCAATTTCCAGTCAGGGTGCATGCCTAGGTTGGGGGCCAGTTCCCCAGTAGCGGGTGTGTGAGAGACAACCACACACTGATGTTTCTCTTCCTCTCTTTCTCCTTCCTTTCCCTCTCTCTAAAAATAAATAAAATTTTTTTAAAAATCCAGAAAAAAAAGAATATAAAATTGAGAGAAAAGAAGAAACAAGTCAAAAAAATTTCCCAGCATCTAAAGTCAAAGTTTCCAAATTGAAAAGCAACTCCTCAAGTGCTACGCACATAGCACTTTTTATGCTTGGTTAAAAAGTACGCCTAGAAATCTAATTTTGAAGTTTCCAAACACAAAAGAGAAGACCCCACATGCTTCTTTCATGTAAAAGATCATAAAGAAAAATTATATGATTTTTCAAAAGCAACACCAGAATCTTTTAGACATTAGACCAATACTTTCAAAAATTTCAGGAAAAATCATTTCCTATCTCTAACTCAGAATTCTATATCTAGTCGGATAATAGTCAAGTTTGAGGGTAGAATGCAAATACTGTCAGATGAACAAGCATCAAGAAGTGTCCACACAGGTAGTTCTTTTTAAAGAAATTACTGGAGGATGTAATCTACCAATAATTCAAGAGAATAAAGCAAAAATGGAATCCAGGGAAAGAATTCAATGAAAAAGGAAAGAGAATCATCAGAATGATGACAAAGCAAGACCACAAGAGGTCTAGACTCTAGAGTATCCAGATATAAAAGCCCCAGAAAAGATTACATAAAGAAGATAAAATTGACAAGATACCTAATATATATACTTGAGTATGTTAAAAAAGATTTCACATAACTTGGGGAGTATCTGATTAAATCTGTGACAAGTCCACAGAAAACTAAATAAAGGGAGGAAATGCAAGACAATGTTGGCTCCAAAGTATGTATTTTTTCCAAGAAGTTAAAAGTCAACATATACAGAGTAGGCAACCAAAAATATTATTTATATAGTCATGATAATATAAACATCAGGTATCCATCTAATCAAAATAAAAATATACTCTAAGTGCATATGGTGTGATACCAGTGTATCTAGTTTTTACATTTTCATCTACTTTTGATATTTTGGAAACATACTTTTTAAATGTTTGTTTTCATGTTCTTTCTACTATGCATTAATTTCAGAATACACTCAAGTATCATTAGCAGTTCAAAAGCATGGTCATTGAGGAACCACTTGTAACTGAAACCTTGTTACATACAAAAACACCATGGACAGAAAGTTCTGAGAGGATATAACCATGTCTGGGATGCTGAGCAACACAGTACCCAGAACACAGTAGGTTCTCAAAGAAAAGAACAGATTACATGAAAAATTCTGTATGAAGAATACATACAAGATGTGAAATTTATTTACATTTACAATAAAATACTCTGAGCACAGTGATAACAATTTTATTAAAATTAATACTCACTTTTTCACTTTATTTTTAGAGAGAGAAAGAGAAAGAGAAAGAAACATCGATGTGTAGTTGCCCCTTGTATGCCCACTACTGGGCACCTGGCCCACAACCCAGGCATGCGCCCTGACTGGGAATCAAACCAGCGACCCCTTTGGTTTGTAGGCCCAAGCTCAATCCACTAAGCTACACAGCTAGGGCTAATATTTATTTTTAAAAAACTTTTATTCTCTGGCAACATTCAAAAGTCTCACAGCCCCTTTGTGAATGCCTGGAAACATTATCAAGTATCTGAGAAACTAATAGTAGCAGGCACCAGGTATTCCTAATTTAAAATATTTTAACCATTTACAAATGACCCCAAAGTGACATATAACATGTTATTTCGCCTAGGCACAAATTTAATCACATGTACTTTATGGCTTTTCTGCAGAAAAATTTACTAAGTAAATGACCTTGGTTAAGCAAAGAACATGCACAACTCAACAAAACTATGGATTTCTCCTAAATCAACACATCTTCACATCTTTTTTAAACCTCAACTTAGTCTATCATAAGCTAACAGTTGTAAAGAAGAGTTAATGTTAGTGACAAAAATAAAATGTGAAGAAGTAAGAAACTGATGGTTACCTGTCAACGTGGAAACCACTGTAAATACCAAGGGCCACATAAAGAACAAATCTGGAATGAAGCGGCTGCTCAAAATATGTTGAAATAATGATAACGACTCTGAGATTCTCATCTCTAGATACACTCTCACCCAACTTTTCATTGTTTATTCCCAATAACACAGTTCCATGCAATACTGTT